TTCATTTCTTTCTATGTACACCCATTGTTTATTTTTGGGTGGGTTTTATTTTCATTTCTTTCTATGTACACCCATTGTTTATTTTTGGGTGGGTTTTATTTTCATTTCTTTCTATGTACACCCATTGTTTATTTTTGGGTGGGTTTTTTTCCATTTCTTTCTATGTACACCCATTGTTTATTTTTGTTTGTCATTTCTCTCTGTGTACACCCTTTGGGTTTCAAATTGATATTCATATGTTAGCGAGACCGTGGCGCATGGATTTTCAGCTATTTAAAAAAAAGTTGAGTGGCATCCCTGTGACAGTGACCAAACCCACATATTGCTCATTTTGAGACGGCGACACCACCCCGTTCCCCACACTTCTCAGTGCAAGCTTGCGTGCTGATGAAGATTAATCATTTAGTACACGAGTTGTGGTAGATCATGATTTATCCTACGAGTGAACTTGCCAAGTTGTAATCACGAGTTTCAACCCCTTTTGCCCTTCTCTGGGCTCCTGACTCTTTCTGCGGCTGTTCTACTGCTGCTCCATGGTTCCTTCTTACTGCTGTCTTTCAGCCACGCCTCTGGTCCTAAGGTTAGTAAGTTATAGCACCTAGCCTTCTCGGATAGTGGCGAAAAATCTCGGAGGTCCCATGTGCAATTCGCGCTCGTTAAAGATCCCTCGGTGGACCAAAAATCGATACGGTTAGGCTTCGGCGGCCACCCGGGCAAAATTAAAAATTAGTTCCTACCAAACTGAAAATGTTTTATGTGTCCCGAGCACCCATAATATGACGTTATGCAGTTGCCAGCGCCGTAAAACACTTACAATAAAAAAAAGAAGAAGGAAAAAATCGCCGAGGCTAGGCGTGCATATATTATGCTTCCCAGGAAGTTGAGGTTGTTTCAGAATGCTCTCAGGTCTGCCTGCTGGGGTAATAGTACAGATTGTGTAGCGCTTAGAGCTTGCTGTCGAGCGGGGATTTGCGCTCTACAAAATGTAATGCTATTTCTTGCATGCAAGTCACATTGCGCACTCGTGTACCCTGTAAAGTGGGTTTTTCGCCGCCCATGGGTTTGGGGTTTAGGCTCCGCGCCAGATGCACCGCGGATTATCGCGGCTATTTCTGGCCCGGCCGGGGACTTGGCGGAGACGCTTTGCCGCCCTCTCTCGTCACTTCTCTGCCTCAGACTCGGAGTTACAAAGCTCTATCTGCTCAGTCAGTGCCTTAGTTTTGAGAAATTTGGCGTCATCAACATTTTGAGTTTGACAACATGTCAGGCTTTTTTCGAATGCTTTTTTAAAAATATCGTTTCCTCGGAATTACGAATTTCTATCTCCTCAATCAGTGCTTAGTTTTGAGAGATTTCACCTCAGACATTTTGAGTTTGACGTTGTGACACGTCCAGCTTTTCTGAATGCATTTCTTTGAATATGGCTACCTCAGAATGACTAAATCTACAATGTTCTATCTGCTCAGTCAGTGCCTTAGTTTTGAGAAATTTGGCGTCATCAACATTTTGAGTTTGACATGTCAAGCTTTTTCGAAATGAGACATTAAACATTTTGAGTTTTTTACCACACGTCAAGCTTTTACGAATGCATTTCTTTGAATATCGCTACCTTGGAATTACAACATTATGTCTGCTCAGTGTCTAAATTTAAAAAAAAAAATTGGCGTCATCAACATTTTGAGTTTCACACATGTCAGGCTTTTACGAATGCATTTCTTTGAATATCGCTATCTCCGAAATACTACAAAGTTCTATCTGCTCAGTGCCTAGTTTTTTTTTTTTTTTTGGTGTCATCAACATTTTGAGTTTGACAACATGTCAGGCTTTTTACGAATGCTTTTTTAAAAATATCGTTTCCTCGGAATTACGAATTTCTATCTCCTCAATCAGTGCTTAGTTTTCAGAGATTTCACGTCAGACATTTTGAGTTTGACGTTGTGACACGTCCAGCTTTTTTGAATGCACTTCTTTGAATATCGATACCTCGGAATTACTACATCTACAAATTTCTATCTGCTCAGTCAGTGCCTTAGTTTTGAGAAATTTGACGTCATCAACATCTTGCGTTTCACAACATGTCAAGCTTTTTCGAAATTAGACATTAAACATTTTGAGTTTTTTTACCACACGTCCAGCTTTTTCGAATGCATTTCTTTGAAAACGAAACCTTGGAATTACGAAAAAACTGTCTGCTCAAGGCC